CTTCTGCCACAAATTCCCCCAGCTGTGAGCCTTCCAACCTTCGAAGTATTCCTTTATATGTGGTTCAGAGTTCTGGGACCATCCCCTGAGCCTGCTTGTTCGGGTATTCTGTGTTGTTGTTGGCGGAGCTCTCTGCTATACGTCCGCCCAATCCGCCATCTTGTTTGTTCTCTCCAGCACAAGACTTTTTTAAAGTGTTGAAGAGCACTTGAGGACTAAGGTCAGCTTGAGGACTAAGGTGTGCCTGACCCACGCCATGGTATTTTCAGTAACCTCATATGCATGTGAAAGCTGGACAGTGAATAAGCAAGACCGCAGAAGAATTGATGCTTTTGAGTTAGGTTGTTGGAGGAGGATATTAAAAGTGCCATAGGCAGCCAAAAGAACCAATAGGTCCGTTTTGGAAGAAGGACAGCCAGAGTGCTCCAGAATGGCCAAAGTTCGTCTCTCATACTTTGGACATATTGTCAGGAGGGAGCAGTCACTGGAGAAGGATATCATGTTTCATAAGGTGGAGGGTCAGAGAAAAAGAGGAAGACCCTCAAAGAGATGGATTGGCCAAGTGGCAGCATTGAAGGACACAAGTGTGGCAACAGTAGTGAGGTTGGCCCAGGATCGGGTAGTATTTCGTTCTGCTGTGCTTAAGGTTGCTATGAGTTGGTACCGACTCAATGGCACCTAACAATGCAACAACCACCACTCTAGTAGGAGAAAATCAACACATATATGTGTTGTGGGATAGAGGTTTCACTAACCCAAGAAATCATCACCTCCTATTGTTTTCAAGTTGCGAGCTGACTATTTTAGTGAAGAAGAAGATTTGGTAATGACAAAAGCCTGGTTCTCTCTGGGATGGCTTGTGGGTGAATGGTGGGCCAGAGTGCTTCTACATAGGACAAGCGAAAATATTTCCTGAGCTTCAAGAATCCCATTACTTTTTAATGCTTATCATGTCTGCGTGGCTTGAGAATAGGATGGGTATGCTTTGATGACTTTGCTGCCACTGTATACCAGGCACCCTCACCCTGCTGTAGTTGCAATACAAACCTAAGGTATATGTGATAATGTTGTTGTTAAGTGCCATCGAGTCACTTCTGACTCATAGCGACCCTGAGTAGGGTTTCCGAGGAGCGCCTGGTGAGTTTCAACTGCCAACCTCGCAGTTCAAACGGCTTT